TGTTTAAAAAATTGAGCACATGTTCAAATTCTGAAATATTTGTCAATAAATAATTAAACAACAATTCCAGTTTCATTTTTTTTTTTTACAAATATCACAAAATATTGAGGCTAACACCGGGGCTGTCACTTGTGTTCTTTTCACCCAGTAACCAGTAGGTCTTGACTGAGCCTTTACCCTGTGGATGGCCAGATCAAAATGTTAGAAAACAAACTAAAATTAGCCTGTGTATTTGGCCTAACATATTTTCACGCTACACCAGTAGCGTACGCAGGGGGGGAGCAGGGGGAGCGGCCGCTCCCCCTCTGGCCATTTTCAGCAAAGTGGCGCCTTTTTTGGAAACTTTTTAAACTCAAAGTTTTAAACAATGATATTTGCTAAAAAAATATTTTTGTTCGGCACATCTTTGTAAATCACAAGATTTCTTTTCATGCAGCAATTAAGCATTATTGTACTAGTCTAGTAGTGTCTACGTTTACAATACGTATTAACACCTGCATCAGTTTGCCGTTCTAAAAATAACCATTACGATGCAATGCAATGTTTAAAAAACATCTACGGGTGGTACCACTTGACAAGAGGGGTGTTAAGTTTAAATCCACGGTATAATGTATTATGTATTTGTTTACGAATAATTGAATTAGAAAATGTTATACTTAAAACTTCACACATAATTACTTTATATATACAGTTTGAATCGTGTGATTGATTTTTAAAAAATTACAATACAGAAACAAATACAACTGATGTGACACCTCTATTTAAATTTACTTATGGGCAAACTGCGTAGCGGTGGGGAAATTTTGACAAGGTTAAACAACGTCATCATGATGAAGTAGTAGTATTCTTACAGTTTGGGCGATACTGATTACGATTACAAATTATATAAAACAGTATCAACTTTATATTAATTATTATTTTAATTTACTAGATCTAGATCTATATTAAATTTGAATAAGGCTATATTTTGTATTTAAAAAACAACTCAACTTAAACTAACCCTGATAGCACAGTTAATTATCCGCTCAGCTGATGTATCGTTTGAACTTGTTTCCAATAGTTAGTAATTATCAAAAAGTAATCGCACCATTTAAATTATTTGGTGTATCATACTAACTATATTGCGAATAAGACAACAGTTGCGCTTAGAATTCGGAAGTTAAGAGGTTATTAAATGGAAAGGAAACCAGAAAAGAAAAAATATTCGGGGTGGGAGAGGAAGAGATTGAAAGAAGTTTCAGATCGCCAACAATCGTCATCCAAATGTATCAAACTGGATACATATTTTTCAATCTGTACGCCTTTAACTGCTACAACAATACAACCAGAGGTTGATGTGTCTCAAGATACCCAAGTACAAAATGTACAAGCAACATCTTCTCAGATGCATAATCAAGGCTTCGAGACTCAAGACAATAAGGTAATGTCTATAGACATTTTAGAAGACACCCATTTAGAAAAGGATATTGACAGTACAATGCCAGTCAAACTTAAAGCTATAATCGATATAAATCTGGAATATCCTACAGATCCTTTTTTGTTTTGTGAAACACCCGTAACACCGGATCTAGTACGTGCATTACTTGAGTTTGGTCCTTGTCAACCAGGCCTCAAAGATACTTATAAAGATTTTCCAAAAAATGTAACTGGTCGGCACTTTAGTGCCAGTTGGTACAAGAAAAAAAACCATACAAAATGTGGTCGTGAAATAATACGACACTGGCTAGTATATTCGCCCAAGGCAAATTATATGATTTGTTTTGCTTGTTGGCTCTTTAAACACAAGTCAGACACTTGGGGCGATCCAAAATTGGGTTGTATGAACTATGCAAAAGGTCCCGACAAAATTAACAAACATGAAAACTCTGAAAGTCACAAGATTGCAGAGAGAGAACTTTTAATTACAAAGTTCCGACTTTACAAAGACAGAACCATAATATGTGACATTTTAACATCAGAAAAGAAGGAAATAGAAAAAAACAGAGTAATACTGGAAAGTATTATAGATGTGGTTCTCTATTTGGGAAAACAGGGATTGGCGTTTAGGGGCCATCGTGAATCCCAAGGTTTAGGAGAATCTACATTAAATGAAGGCAACTTTTTGGAACTTATTAAACTCATTTCTAAGAAAGATGATTTGCTGAAACAACATTTACTTTTCGGTGACAGAAATGCAACATACTTAAGTCCGGGTATGCAAAACGACTTAATTAAGGCTATATCAGCCCAAATTTTAAAGAAGATAGTAGGTGAAATTAAGATAGCTAGGTACTTCGCTGTGATTGTAGATTCAACTATCGACATTAGTAGAATAGATCAATTTTCTTTGTCAATCAGATATGTTACTGAACATGGAGACGCCATCGAAAGATTTATTCAATTTTGTGAGCTTCCTGAAGCTAGTGCAGAGGTTTTTTTTAAAACACTTCTTGCAGCAGTCACAGACTTAGGGCTGTCAATGACCATGTGCTATGGTCAGTCCTACGATGGAGCAAACACCATGTCTGGTGAAATATCAGGCCTACAAAAACGAGTTAGAGAAATAGCTCCACATGCACTCTTCACACACTGCTGTGCTCATAATTTAAATTTAATTCTCATAGATGCTGTTTCATCTAATATTCAAACACAGCTGTTTTTTGGAGTTCTGGAAAGCATATATACATTTTTTACCGGAAGTCTACCGCGTCTTTCTATATTGCAAGAGGAGCAACGCAACAACATAGAAGCATTTTCATTAACACTGAAACGACTTAGTGATACAAGATGGGCGTCTAGAAAGACAGCAGTAGATTCTATATTGCAGAATTTACCAGCACTAGTTCTTGCATTGCGAAGAATAGTTGACGGTGAAGTTAAAAACTCTACTTCTAAACAGATTGCCGAAGGAAAGGGAATTCTTGTTACAATAGAGACCTTTGAGTTTTTAGTTGTTTTAATGTTTTGGAAAAGAATTCTGCATAAGGCTTTTAACGTATCCATTTATTTACAGAAAAGTAGCATTGATATGTTAACAGCCTTTCGATTAATTCAGATTTTTGAAAATGAGATGAGTAGCTGGAGAAATGAATTTGAATCAGAATTTGAGCAGATTGAGAACGAAGCCACTGAGCTCGCTGAGAAATGTGATATTCGTACGGAGTATAAGCAACACAGGTTATACAAACGGAAAATATTCCACGACGAAGGTGCAGAGGATACTCAGATATCTGACTCTAGGAAAAAATTCATTGTTCAAACTTATTTAGTGTCACTTGACTCTGTCATAATTAGTACAAACACAAGGTTTCAAAATTTTAAAGATTTGTCTTCCAAGTTTTGTTGCTTAGACCCAAAACATTTTGCATTAGATGACTGTTTAATACAGTTGCAGCAATTAGCAGTGACGTACTCGGATGTTGTTGACAGTGTAACTGAAGTAGTGCAGGAATTCGTATCATTTAGAACATTTTACCAAGAAGTTTTTAGTGTAAGCAGTGTAAACAAGGGAGTTTCAACTGAAAAAGAACCTCCGGAACTAGCGGTGACAGTAAACAGCATTCTGAAATTCATGATAGCTAATGACTTGTGTTCTATGTATCCAAACCTGTCCACTTTGTATCGTATATTTCTGACTTTACCAATAAGCAGTGCCGGAGCAGAAAGATCCTTCAGCCGTCTTAAACTCCTGAAAACATACATCCGTTCTACTATGAATGAAGACAGGTTGTCCAGCTTAGCCCTGATTACGATTGAACGACAATTAGCTTCTGATGTTGATTTAAAAGACGTAATTGATCATTTTGCTAAAATGAAACCTCGACGAAAAAGGATGTTGTAGTTCTAACAGAAGTTTTAGAGTACAGGATAAAACAAAATTGCTATCAAAAGTGTTACATAGGCCTTAATAAATAATTATTGTTATTTCTTTTTTAATTTAAAATGAATACCGTTTTGTAAAACTGATTAAGCAATAAAAATATCTTCATTTACGTGTCTTATGCATTCCAATTTTTAGAAGACATAATGCTATTATAAAGTAAATTGTACGAGGATGACAAAAACAGACTATGCCCTATATATATATATATATATATATATATATATATATATATATATATATATATATACGTATATAGAACATATTACAAATTCGGCGCCTTTTTTGCTATTTTTCGCTCCCCCTACACTGAAAACCTGGATACGCCTCTGCCAGTAGCTAAGAGGTACATATAATTCTCATATGGCACTACCTGACTATCAATGACCAAAGTTGTTAAGCTATTACATATAATTGTTTTTACTTTTTCATTAATGTGAATACAAGTTTACCGCTGATTTCAATGTTTAGGTATAGTTTCAATAAATGTTAATTAGGAGTGATAGAATTACTGTTAAATAATTAAACCTAAGAATGTTGCCTTAAAAAAAAAATTCTTCTTTTTTCCTTTTTTTTTATATTAATTTATGTTTGAAAATAAAACAAAAAGATGTCTTAGACCTCCAATTAATAAACTTAACTTCTGCCCTAGTTTAAAACAGCTTATGGTGCTAAGAGCAGCATTTTGTCTCAGAATTTTTGTTAACTAGACCAAACAAAGCATCAAGCTGAATATTATATTATCATAGCGTATCAGTACTAATGTATGGGCGTAGAGCTTATGAATGCATACCCAAAGCTTTGAGTTCAGATCCCAAGCTCTAGTCTAAAGGTCAGAGTCTACCCAGCTCTGATGGGTACCTAATTCAAGTTCAGGTAACTCTGGGGGGGGGGGGGGGGCTTGGGATAGTTCTGACCACTTATCCTCATGTATCTGAGGTCACTGAAACTGATCAACTCTACTTCATCAACACTGTACAAAGTTGTACACTACGTAGACCCACCTTCATCTCCACATTTCCCCTGAGCTCCAGGTCAAATGTAGCAAATGTGTCTAAAACTTCTTTACACTGTGGGCTGACATGGATCTTTAGAGCTGTGGAAGACATGTACAAATGTAGCAAATGTGTCTAAAACTTCTTTACACTGTGGGCTGACATGGATCTTTAGAGCTGTGGAAGACATGTACAAATGTGTCTAAAACTTCTTTACACTGTGGGCTGACATGGATCTTTAGAGCTGTGGAAGACATGTACAAATGTAGCAAATGTGTCTAAAACTTCTTTACACTGTGGGCTGACATGGATCTTTAGAGCTGTGGAAGACATGTACAAATGTAGCAAATGTGTCTAAAACTTCTTTACACTGTGGGCTGACATGGATCTTTAGAGCTGTGGAAAACATGTACAAATGTAGCAAATGTGTCTAAAACTTCTTTACACTGTGGGCTGACATGGATCTTTAGAGCTGTGGAAGACATGTACAAATGTAGCAAATGTGTCTAAAACTTCTTTACACTGTGGGCTGACATGGATCTTTAGAGCTGTGGAAAACATGTACAAATGTAGCAAATGTGTCTAAAACTTCTTTACACTGTGGGCTGACATGGATCTTTAGAGCTGTGGAAGACATGTACAAATGTAGCAAATGTGTCTAAAACTTCTTTACACTGTGGGCTGACATGGATCTTTGTGGAAGGCATGTTAATGTAGAAGGTTGTTGCAAATGTTATAGTAGGTTGTAGCAAATGTTATAGTACGCTGTAGCAAATGTTATAATGCGCTGTAGCAAATGTTATAATGCGCTGTAGCAAATGTTAACATTATAGTAGGTTGTAGCAAATGTTATAGTACGCTGTAGCAAATGTTATAGTAGGCTGTAGCAAATGTTATAGTATGCTGTAGCAAATGTTTAAAAAAAAAGTTAATGGACCCTTCCATACTACCAACTAGCCATTCTAAAGGCTGTGTAATTAGTGTAGTACGGAAGTGAAAATGAATGAGAGTAGCACAGCAGAGAAAATAAATGAGAGTAGCAGGACAGAGAAAATAAATGAGTGTAGTACAGCAGAGAAAATAAATGAGAGTAGCACATCAGAGAAAATAAATGAGAGTAGTACAGCAGAGAAAATAAATGAGAGTAGTACAGCAGAGAAAAAAAAGAGTAGCACATCAGAGAAAATAAATGAGTGTAGCATGGCAGAGAAAATAAATGAGAGTAGCACAGCAGAGAAAATAAATGAGTGTAGCATGGCAGAGAAAATAAATGAGAGTAGCACAGCAGAGAAAATAAATGAGAGTAGCACAGCAGAGAAAATAAATGAGAGTAGCACATCAGAGAAAAAACAAGAAAGTAGCACATCAGAGAAAATAAATGAGTGTAGCATGGCAGAGAAAATTGAGAGTAGCACAGCAGAGAAAATAAATGAGAGTAGCACATCAGAGAAAAAACAAGAGAGTAGCACATCAGAGAAAATAAATGAGTGTAGCATGGCAGAGAAAATTGAGAGTAGCACAGCAGAGAAAATAAAAGAGAGTAGCACAGCAGAGAAAATAAATGAGTGTAGCATGGCAGAGAAAATAAATGAGAGTAGCACATCAGAGAAAATAAATGAGTCTAGCACATCAGAGAAAAAACAAGAGAGTAGCACATCAGAGAAAATAAATGAGTGTAGCATGGCAGAGAAAATAAATGAGAGTAGCACAGCAGAGAAAATAAATGAGTGTAGCATGGCAGAGAAAATAAATGAGAGTAGCACAGCAGAGAAAATAAATGAGAGTAGCACATCAGAGAAAATAAATGAGAGTAACACATCAGAGAAAATAAATGAGTGTAGCATGGCAGAGAAAATTGAGAGTAGCACAGCAGAGAAAATAAATGCTAGACTTACGTAGACCATTGGACTCCATTCTTGAGGCTGTATTGACAGTATCACCAAAGAGACAATAGCGAGGCATTTTAAGGCCAACAACTCCGGCACAAACAGAACCTGCATACATCAGGACTTGACTTTAGAAAGTTTGGTCAGGAAAAACATCAGTGGAATTTAAATTTGTTATTTTTTGTGAAGGTCTACACACTTTACCTCTCTACAATGGGAACAATTTGCATGATACTAAACTAACAGAGGGGAAAATGTGATCAAAACAAAAGCAGATGAATTGTCTAAGGCTGGTCTTAGTTGGACAACATACGGCCAGAGAAAACATAGGAGGTGAGGAGATCAATCAATTCAGCTGCTGAATGGGTGGACTCAAGGATGTACTACTCTCTTAAACCCAGATTCGAACTCAAGACTTTCAGGTTAGCAGCCTAGTGCTCTACCGCTAGGCCACACCTTCCCATAAATTATATTTACACAAATCAAAATGTTACCTGTGTGAATGCCAATTCTAATCTTCAGCCTGTCATTGGGCCGGTGCCTGATTCTAAATGTCAAGGTCGCTTTCAACAAAGACAAGCTCATCCTGGCTATCTCACGTGCGTGTAAAATCCCATTACGATCTGGCAGGCCTGACACAACCATGTAGGCGTCTCCTATTGTCTCAACCTACAATAAACAACAGTGTGTTTTGTTAAAGGCAGACACAACCATGTAGGCGTCTCCTATTGTCTCAACCTACAATAAACAACAGCGTGTTTTGTTAAAGGCAGACACAACCATGTAGGCGTCTCCTATTGTCTCAACCTACAATAAACAACAGCGTGATTTGTTAAAGACAGACACAACCATGTAGGCGTCTCCTATTGTCTCAACCTACAATAAACAACAGCGTGATTTGTTAAAGACAGACACAACCATGTAGGCGTCTCCTATTGTCTCAACCTACAATAAACAACAGCGTGATTTGTTAAAGACAGACACAACCATGTAGGCGTCTCCTATTGTCTCAACCTACAATAAACAACAGCGTGATTTGTTAAAGACAGACACAACCATGTAGGCGTCTCCTATTGTCTCAACCTACAATAAACAACAGCGTGATTTGTTAAAGACAGACACAACCATGTAGGCGTCTCCTATTGTCTCAACCTACAATAAACAACAGCGTGATTTGTTAAAGACAGACACAACCATGTAGGCGTCTCCTATTGTCTCAACCTACAATAAACAACAGCGTGATTTGTTAAAGACAGACACAACCATGTAGGCGTCTCCTATTGTCTCAACCTACAATAAACAACAGCGTGATTTGTTAAAGACAGACACAACCATGTAGGCGTCTCCTATTGTCTCAACCTACAATAAACAACAGCGTGATTTGTTAAAGACAGACACAACCATGTAGGCGTCTCCTATGGTCTCAACCTACAATAAACAACAGCGTGTTTTGTTAAAGGCAGACACAACCATGTAGGCGTCTCCTATTGTCTCAACCTACAATAAACAACAGCGTGATTTGTTAAAGACAGACACAACCATGTAGGCGTCTCCTATTGTCTCAACCTACAATAAACAACAGCGTGATTTGTTAAAGACAGACACAACCATGTAGGCGTCTCCTATTGTCTCAACCTACAATAAACAACAGCGTGATTTGTTAAAGACAGACACAACCATGTAGGCGTCTCCTATGGTCTCAACCTACAATAAACAACAGCGTGTTTTGTTAAAGGCAGACACAACCATGTAGGCGTCTCCTATTGTCTCAACCTACAATAAACAACAGCGTGATTTGTTAAAGACAGACACAACCATGTAGGCGTCTCCTATTGTCTCAACCTACAATAAACAACAGCGTGATTTGTTAAAGACAGACACAACCATGTAGGCGTCTCCTATTGTCTCAACCTACAATAAACAACAGCGTGATTTGTTAAAGACAGACACAACCATGTAGGCGTCTCCTATTGTCTCAACCTACAATAAACAACAGCGTGATTTGTTAAAGACAGACACAACCATGTAGGCGTCTCCTATGGTCTCAACCTACAATAAACAACAGCGTGTTTTGTTAAAGGCAGACACAACCATGTAGGCGTCTCCTATTGTCTCAACCTACAATAAACAACAGCGTGATTTGTTAAAGACAGACACAACCATGTAGGCGTCTCCTATTGTCTCAACCTACAATAAACAACAGCGTGATTTGTTAAAGACAGACACAACCATGTAGGCGTCTCCTATTGTCTCAACCTACAATAAACAACAGCGTGATTTGTTAAAGACAGACACAACCATGTAGGCGTCTCCTATTGTCTCAACCTACAATAAACAACAGCGTGATTTGTTAAAGACAGACACAACCATGTAGGCGTCTCCTATTGTCTCAACCTACAATAAACAACAGCGTGATTTGTTAAAGACAGACACAACCATGTAGGCGTCTCCTATTGTCTCAACCTACAATAAACAACAGCGTGATTTGTTAAAGACAGACACAACCATGTAGGCGTCTCCTATTGTCTCAACCTACAATAAACAACAGCGTGATTTGTTAAAGACAGACACAACCATGTAGGCGTCTCCTATTGTCTCAACCTACAATAAACAACAGCGTGATTTGTTAAAGACAGACACAACCATGTAGGCGTCTCCTATTGTCTCAACCTACAATAAACAACAGCGTGTTTTGTTAAAGACACACTAGACAGAATAGCACAATGTGTGTATTACTTCCTTGGTTTGGTCACTAAATATTTTATCCTGTGCAGGATTATTTTATAGTTTAAGTTGCAACAGAGTTACTATTTTATGATTAGTGGTGAAAAATGTTTGAAATATTTATAAACTTAATAGAAAAGTTTCACACTAATTCATTAGTACAATAAAAAAATGTTTTTTTAATTTATTGTAGCAAAGAAAAAGAATTAGAAATTAACAGTGGTAGTTGATTAAAATTTGTGATTATCTTTCATTAGTAAAATAAAAAAAAATAAGTACTTACTTTATAAACATCAAAGTGTTCAATAATAGAATCAAAAGCTGTGTACAAGTCATTTAACAAGTCAACAACCTAAGAATAAACCAATACATAAATACAATTATATTTTCTTTATAATATCTTTACTTAATGTAAATAATGAAATGCTTCTATAGTACGTGTACTAAATAGCCTTTGTACATGTTTACATTTTTTTTCCAATTTCAGGCCATATTACAACTTAACAGAACTTATAGTATGAGCATCTACTTATGGTAAACCAATGGACACACTCAAGGAATAAAATCATGAACCAAATGTCAACCCAGGTGTGATATGTATAAGCCACAAGCCTACAGTAGAGTGTTGCACCCACCTCCATTGGAGTGCTCTCTGACAAGGTTTAAACATTTCTATATCTATCTATAAAAAAATGGACCCACCTCCATAGGTTTAAACATTTCTATATCTATCTATAAAAAAATGGACCCACCTCCATAGGTTTAAACATTTCTATATCTATCTATAAAAAAATGAACCCACCTCCATAGGTGTGCTCTCTGCTGACAAGGCAGTGAACCCACAGATGTCACTGAAGTAAATAGAGACACTGTCATACCACTCGGCTGTCACTGATTCACCACGGATTAGCTGCGACGCCACTTTCCTAAAGCACAAAAAATATACATGTCAATTCATCACAGACCTTCATTTATTGAAATATTAATTTAAAAATACAAAATAAACTTGAAATAAATTAATTATGGTTACAATGATATGCTGTGACATGAAAATAAAATATTTATAAAAAACGTTTGCTGATTTGTAGACCAGCTGTTTAATTATAATCAAATTAACAGAACAGGATGTGCAATCTTTAAGAAATGTGATGTTTTAATTAATTTATTTTAAACTAACTTGGGCAGCATGTTGTACAAGAGATCCTCAGCTTTTTTCTTCTGCTGTAGATAATCTGCTGTCCTCTCCTCTACCAGGGCCTCCAAGTTGTTGGCGTACTGCTCCATACGGGAGAGGAGGTTGTCTAGGATGTTGCCCTTGTCACCATCTCTGGGAATAGGAAAACATGTTTGGTTTGGTACCTAGCTAGTGGGGTTATGTATGTAAGTTTTAACCTAGTCGGATTTTGGCTAAAGCCTAGGGGATATTAAAAAAAATCAATTAAATGAGAATTAGGGCTTAGGTTAGTGAGTGTTGTATCTGGCTCATTTGTGTGAGCATTACAGCTCATGCAGATCTAATGGGAATCTGGGCTATAAGGAAATACATGTAGCTGGGTACGGAACTGACCTTGCAAGTAAAAATTTAAATACATAAAAATTAAAATGATGTTACCTATTCAGTTTTCTAATGATAGACTTTAATGATGTTACCTATTTAGTTTTCTAATTATGTTACCTATTAAGTTTCCTAATAATGTTACCTATTAAGTTTCCTAATGACGTTACCTATTTAGTTTCCTAATGATGTTACCTATTAAGTTTCCTAATGATGTTACCTATTTAGTTTCCTAATGATGTTACCTATTAAGTTTCCTAATGATGTTACCTATTAAGTTTCCTAATGATAGACTTTGTTACCTATTAAGTTTCCTAATGATGGACTTTATGTTACCTATTAAGTTTCCTAATGATGTTACCTATATAGTTTCCTAATGATGTTACCTATTCAGTTTCCTAATGATGTTACCTATTTAGTTTCCTAATGATGTTACCTATTAAGTTTCCTAATGACATTACCTATTTAGTTTCCTAATGATGTTACCTATTCAGTTTCCTAATGATGTTACCTATTTAGTTTCCTAATGATGTTACCTATTAAGTTTCCTAATGACATTACCTATTTAGTTTCCTAATGATGTTACCTATTAAGTTTCCTAATGATGTACTTTATGTTACCTATTAATTTTCCTAATGATGTTACCTATTAAGTTTCCTAATGATGGACTTTGTTACCTATTAAGTTTCCTAATGATGTTACCTATTAAGTTTCCTAATGATAGACTTTATGTTACCTATTAAGTTTCCTACTGATGTTACCTATTTAGTTTCCTAATAATGTTACCTATTAAGTATCCTAACGATGTTACCTATTTAGTTTCCTAATAATGTTACCTATTAAGTATCCTAACGATGTTACCTATTTAGTTTCCTAATAATGTTACCTATTAAGTATCCTAATGATGTTACCTATTAAGTTTCCTAATAATGTTACCTATTAAGTATCCTAACGATGTTACCTATTTAGTTTCCTTATAATGGACTTTAATGCTTGAAAATCTGGTCTGTCAGTAGGATCCTCAGCCCAGCAGCGGCTGAAATGTTTAAGTCTTTTGTTAATGATGTCTTTTGTTAATGATGTCTTTTGTTTACTGGTGCTTTTGTTTACTGGTGCTTTTGTTTACTGGTGCTTTTTGTGTAATTTTCAGGACATTATGGTAAGCATATTTAAAAAATGGTACTTTTTTAAACAAATTAATCTAGTAAAACATTTCTTGAATGGATCTGAAATGTTAACGTTAAAAAAATATTATTTTACTTATTATATGTTTATAGTACCATTAGACGTAATATCAATATATATTAACTAAATTATAAGAAGTAATATGTAGATATTGACTTAATGAATGACATGAAGTAATATGTACATATTGACTGAATGACATGAAGTAATATGTACATATTGACTGAATGACATGAAGTAATATGTACATATTGACTGAATGACATGAAGTAATATGTACATATTGACTGAATGACTTTAATATTGAATGAATGACTTGAAGTAATATCTACCGTATAACACCAGCTAACTCGTCACAAGGACAGTCGTATTCTTCAAGAGATGGTCTGAAGTAAGGCTTCACACCTGCCTTCACCTTCAGGTAAATTTCTGTGGAAGTTGACAGGGTACATGTTCTTTTATTTAATTTTCAGATATGTGTACACTACATTTAAACAAGGATGAATGAGGAGTTATTTTGCAAAACCTACCAAAACGTTTAAAGAAAACAAACAGTTATACTTACATTAATTTTAATTAAGTGCTAATTAAAGAATTATCCCAATTATTGTTCGAAAAGCTATAGGCCTACTTTAAAATTTATATTTTAAGAGTGTAAAATCCAAACTCGTAAGAAAGCGAAGAACGAAAAAAAAAATAAAAGTAATATCCTGAAAATCATTCTGAAGTGGCAGCAAGTTTTGCAATAGAAATCCCCAAACTTAAGAAGTTAATTTAAATTAGTAATTTTACAGAAAATATCATAAAATTATGTATGTTCTTAAATATAAATTTCTGAAATGGGGAATGCTTTATTCTCTGGTGTTCTAGTATAAAATTATTAGACAAACACAGTAGCGTAGCGGGGGGGGGGGGGGGGGGGGGCGGGGGGGGGGGGACATATGTCCCCGGGCGCCGAGCTTAGGGGGCGCCAAAATGGGTTGGAAAAATAAATTGGAAGGTTGAAGGGGGTGCAAATTGAAAGTTTGAGGGGGGGGGTGAAAACCGAGATCTCGAGGGGAGGGGGTGCAAATCGAAAAGTTTGTCCCCGGGCGCCGGGAAGGGTCGCTACGCCTCTGGACAAACACAGGAGTTACCATGGGGTGTGAGATCAAGATTCTGTAAAAAGTAGACGCCATTTCTGTAGACAATCTCCTGACAGATGATGGCAAAGCTGTAAACATCTCCCTTGATGGTACCCTCTGGTGGCCTGTAGGCCATGCGTAACAGCTCAGGGGCCGTCCATAATTTATCTAGATGGATGAGAAAAAATTTGGAATATGTAAACAAGCGCATGGGCCGTTATAATTTATCTAGATGGATGAGAAAAATTTGGAATATGTAAACAAGTGCATGGGCCGTTATAATTTATCTAGATGGATGAGAAAAATTTGGAATATGTAAACAAGTGCATGGGCCGTCTATAATTTATCTAGGTAGATGAGAAAAATTTGGAATATGTAAACAAGTGCATGGGCCGTTATAATTTATCTAGATGGATGAGAAAAATTTGGAATTTTAAAACAAGCGCAGGGGATGTGTATAATTTATCTAGATGGATAAGATAATGTGGATTTTTTCATTATTGACATCGAGTGTGATTAAATTAAAATTCTCCAGGTATTATTTTAGCACTAATTGAGTTAAGACAAATATTTTAAAGTGCATTATTTATTTTTTTAAAAAGTGGTTTGTATGATAACATAAGTTAGACATTTTATTGTTGTCTGTTCATGTCTACTGAAGGTCAGAAGTTCTATATTTCCCTCAATTCATTAAGGGGGTTAATTACAATGGTACGTACTTAAATAGTAGCTGTAACTGTGATCCTCCTCCTCGTTATTTCTCTCTAGCCCCCGCAAGTGATGGAGACCAAAGTCTGTGATTTTGACAACAAATCTGCTGTCAACTACGCAGTTTGTGCTCTTTAAATAACCGTGACTGCGCACCTCTGTCCCTTGTAGATAGGCCATGCCCTGCATGCAATCAAACATTCATCAGAAACATCAGAGTAAAGAAATGTAATGGCATGAGTGAATCAGGTTTTTAATAAATTTCCTGTGAGAAAAAAAAACGACTAGACTAATACCTTCAGAGTTCTCCTGAATCTATAATATTTCTTCCATTAAACACAATTGTGCAAAACATGGGTTTTAACTGAATCTGTAATATTTCTAGCATTGATTATAATTGTACCAACAATAAATTTATCATCCTGTATTACCCGAACAATATCTTGCATGATTGAATAGCGGAACATCCAGTCTAACTTGATCTGTTCATTCTCTAGAACATCCTAGAACCACAATTAGAAGAAAACTAGAATTTAGGTTATCTCAAAGACATCCTAATAAAAGGATAAATGAGAATGGGATGAATTGACACATTGATTAAATTAACATAAACATAGAAGCACTATTTAAAAACTGTGCATACTTGTAAACTTCCTTTAGGGCAATATTCTGTTAGAATACATGCATTTGGGAAATCTATACAAGCTCCTATAAATCTGACTATGTGATCATTTTGTAGATCTTTCATCTGGAAATAAAGGCAAAAAATTGCAGATAATTAACTGAATTCTGCTGCCAAAGTTGTTTCAAGTTTACAAAACAAATAATTAAATCTGAGAACATTTTCATGTTTTAATTAAAATAAAATAATTATTGCTTTACATATATGATATATTTTTCAAGGTTAAAACTATAATTGTATATAATTAAATTCATAATAAGAATTCAAAATGTAGACCTAAATGATTTACTGATTTAATTAATTTAATTTATTTTAATATATTTATAAGGTCATGCTGAGTAAGGCCTTTTTTTAAATTAAAAAAAATTATATTCAGGCAAGTAAGCAATAATTTTTTAATTCAGAAATTAAGTGTACAGCCTATAAAATTACTTTTAAATTACTTAAATTAGAGAATAAATAAGTTTTAATAACAAAATATAAATGAGAAATAATGTCCTGTAGACTGAGATAGATAATCAAAACGACTCACACATTTGATCTCCAATAGCATTGGTTTACTGATGGTTATGTTGGGTCTGGTAATTGGTTTGATGGCAATAATTGCTCCCTGTTGGATTTTTTCATGGTAAAAATGGTTAAAGACAAGTACAAAGTTTGATTTAAAATGTGTCCTCTCAAATTAAATATTGTGGCAGTTTGTAAAAAACTTTAACTGAACTGGGAAATAAAACAAACCTTGTAGTAGCCAGTTCTAGTAAACAACTGTCTGTTTCCTGCATCATTGAGATGTACAGCTATTGTATCCCCAGAACAATCACTGGTTGGCAAAGAGCCTTTCTGTAAATTAAAATACAATTTTTAGGCCTATGCATTTTCTAGATCTAGTTACTAGATCTAGTTAGATTATCTACTTCTAGATATCTAGACTCTAGACCAGATCTAGATTAAAATATAGATTTAGATCTAGTAGTAAGGGGTCGTCCATAAATGACGTCACACTCGTAGGGGAGAGGGGGGGTCGGTAATTTTGTGACGACGTGTGATGAGGGAGAGGGGGGGGGGGGGGGTTCAGATGGTGCGACGTCACACTTTTGCATTAAAAAAAGAAATGTTACAAAATACATTTTTAGACGTTATTTCGCGTTTTAGAAAACAGTTTTAATAAATTGTAATAGGAATTGATTAAAATACTCTATTTTGACAGATTTCAGACAAGATATTGGAAAAATATAGATGTTTTTAAAAAAATCAACTGCAATTTTGAAGGGGGGGGGGGGGGTTGTAGGCTGAGGTGTGAAGTCATTTTATGGGGGGGAATCTGGTTTTTGTGACGACGTGTGACGGAGGGGAGGGGGGAGGAAAAAAATCGTCAAAAAAAAGCGTGCCGTCATTTATGGATGACCCACTAATTTACAATCAAATTTTAAAATATAATGAAACAGATCTAGAGTGAAGAAACAAGATCCAGATCTCGAGATCCCTTTTAAAAAGAAAATAAAAGATAGACAATTAAGAAACTTTCACATTCAACTGTTTTATCGCAGTAGCATCCCTTAGATTATAAATTTTATTTTCACTGTTCGAAAGGTTTCAGTTCGTACAAATGACACAATGTTGGCCGTAATAGTCATATCGTGGTGTAGCCTTCTGGCTTAATACTTATTTTAGCATTCTTTCTGTGCAAACAATTCACTTAAAAAACACTAGTAGACATATTATTAGGCCGCCTTAATCTTTTTCAGCTGCAGAATCACATGTTTCTAATAATTTATTTAAAAACACAATTTACGCGCGGCTTCCTGAGACTAACCCGACTGTCCTGTCTATCAACAACTGACCCTGAGCCTGCCCACTCTATCAACAACTGACCCTGAGACTAAGCCAACTGCCCACTCTATCAACCAGTGGCGTAGCGAGGTCGGGTGTTACCCGGTAGCGACCCTTCCCGGGGACAAATTTTCGATTTGCACCCCCCCCCCCTCAAGTTTTCGATTTGCACCCCCCATCAAACTTTCGATTTGCACCCCCCCCCCCAAGTTTTTCTCTATATATTTTGCTATTTTTTGCCTTGGTGTCACCCCCCTAAATGGTGTCACCCGGTGCGGTCCGCACCCCCCGCCCCCCCCCTCGCTACGCCCCTGCTATCAACAACTGACCCTGAGACTGCCCACTCTATCAACAACTGACCCTAAGACTAAGCCAACTGCCCTGTCTATAAAAAAAACAACTGACCCTGAGACTAAGCCAACTGCCCTGTCTATAAAAAAAACAACTGACCCTGAGACTAAGCCAACTGCCCTGTCTATAAAAAAAACAACTGACCCTGAGACTAAGCCAACTGCCCTGTCTATAAAAAAACAACTGACCCTGAGACTAAGCCAACTGCCCTGTCTATAAAAAAACAACTGACCCTGAGACTAAGCCAATTGACCCTAACCCTAAGCCAACTGCCCTGTCTATAAAAAAACAACTGACCCTGAGACTAAGCCAACTGCCCTGTCTATAAAAAAAAACAACTGACCCTGAGACTAAGCCAACTGCCCTGTCTATAAAAAAACAACTGACCCTGAGACTAAGCCAACTGCCCTGTCTATAAAAAAAAACAACTGACCCTGAGACTAAGCCAACTGCCCTGTCTATAAAAAAACAACTGACCCTGAGACTAAGCCAACTGCCCTGTCTATAAAAAAAAACAACTGACCCTGAGACTAAGCCAACTGCCCTGTCTATAAAAAAACAACTGACCCTGAGACTAAGCCGACTGCCCTGTCTATAAAAAAAAACAACTGACCCTGAGACTAAGCCGACTGCCCTGTCTCTCCAACTTTTTGTTCTTCTCTGGCGCCCCAAACAGAATGTCGTCCCACCTGACCCTCCAGTTCATTTCCGCAAGCTCCGCCTCCAGCTTGATGTGTCTGTGGACAAACAAATAGAGCTATATTTAGGCATATAGAAATAACATGCTATGTTGTCTGTGGACAAACAAATAGAGCTATATTTAGGCAAACATACAGAAATTAAATGCCATGTTGTCTGTGGACAAACAAATAGAGCTATATTTAGGCATACAGAAATAACATGCCAAGGTGTCTGTGTACATATAAAAAAAAATTATATTCACATAATATTCACATACAAAATAAATAGTAACGTTAGTTTGATGTGTACTTTTTGGACCTCTATCTTAAAATTAAGTGTCATTAAAATGCAAAGCTTCAAATAATATTTCTTCTCGAACTTTTTCATCATAAAACAATAGTTCATTCACAATTTGTAAAAAAAGCACTCTAAAAAAGTTACACGACACAGACTTACCTGAATAATTACATAGACATGAAAAAGAAATAAAAACAAACACGGCCGACAAAAACATAACAAAACCTGCACATAAAGACATAGGTTACATGGAAGGGTCGATACAAAAATAACATTATCTTACCTATAGATGAAGAAAACGGCGATAAGAACAATCAGCAAGAGCGATCCCAAGACGATAATCACGATAAAATATTCTGGGAACGGTTCTGTTGGGGAAAAAAAGCGAAATATGGATTAGAAGCATTTTTTTCAACACAGATTTAACGTGAGAATTTTTATCTGAAGGCTATTTGATGCAATTCTACATATAAAACATGTATATTTTATTATGAAAATTCATTTTCCATTCTCTGAACGTCAGAGCTTTTATGTCCATGTATCCTTTGTTCCGAAATTTTTAGGGGGGGGGGGGGGGGGTTAAGGAAGAGGGATTTAAGTCCAAGTGGATGTCCGGGTTTATTTTGGCGCATGGTTTAAGTCCTGTGGTTTTACTTGGTGAGCATCAGATTAAACGATAAGTGAGCGATTAGGTGGATTAACACATGATTAAGGCTATAGACTTAACGTGAGTGCACATGTCACTAGAACATACACACATCACCAAAACGTAACACGTCAACAAAAACGCCCTCCCTCCCTCCAGTGGCGTAGCGAGGTCGGGTATCACCCGGTGCGGCACTTAATGGTGTCACCCCCCAGAGGCGTAGCGACCCTTCCCGGGGACAAACTTTCAAACTTTCGATTTGCACACCCCCCCCCCCTCAAGTTTTCGATTTGCACCCACCCCCCCAAATTTCGATTTGCACCCCCCCTCCCCTCAAGTTTTTCTCTATATATTTTGCTATTTTATGACTTGGTGTCACCCCCTACATGGTGTCACCCGGTGCGGTCCGCACCCCCCGCCCCCCCCCCCCGTCGCTACGCCTCTGCCTCCCTCCCCCCCACAAAGTTTACCTTCAGAAGGACATCTCGAGCCATCAAAACCACAAATGGGCGTGTCTGGGGGAGGGGCCAGTCTGCCACCTGCCCAGTGAATTGTCTTGTTGGGGAGGAGTTCAAACTTTTTATGGGTGCCAAAATAGTTGCCGACAACCTGGGGGTGACAAGCATGATTGGTTAATTACTTTAATTAAATGACGTTTTCTTTGAAATAAGGAATCGATACAACTCGTTTACCTCAAATTTGTCAGTTTCTGGATTCAAATCAAGCAGCGAGTAATCGGAGTTTCGATCCCCGTTGGCGTCGATACTAAAAGTTCCAGTTATACCTACAAAAAACAAAGATCAAGTGTAAACGCAGAGTCAGAAGCTAAATAATATTGTGATATAGAGATACCACAGAGGGACCTGTCTTTATGCGATGGCTGTCGTTTCCTTAGTGGTGTGGCCTATCAATCGCTGTGTTTGTGTGTTGAGGATTTCATACATTTCAATTGGTTCCACAGGTGAGTTCAAAACTATTAACATCCACCCCTCTACTCACCACTAAATATCCTCCATCCCCACCTCCACCCCACCCCCTAACCAGTAAATGTCCCCTCCACTCACCACTAAATGACCCCCACCCCCTCACCACCAAATGTCCCCCCTCCCACTAATCACTCACCACCAAATGTCCTCCACCCCTCCCCCCTCACCACCATGTGTCTCCACCCCCACCCCCACCACTAAATGACCACCCCCACCCCCCCCCCCCCTCACCACCAAATGTCCGCACCCCACCCCCCCCCCCCCCCCCATTCACCACTAAACGTCCGGTTCCACATCCTCCTGGTTACAGCACTGCCGTCTGTGATGGAACCGTTGGCCGTCAGCGTCTCGTTCAGTGCCCGGGCATACAACAGGACGGCGTCATGGAATGCACCGGCAAAGGCATTGACCTGTAGGGGGCATAAGGTAGAATACACTGTTAGACAGGGGTCACCTATTAGGCAGGTATCACCTGTTAGACAGGGGTCACCTGACGTGTATAGGTAAACCTGAGTTCATAAGTTATTATAAAATGATGAATACATTGAAACGAATAAAAAAAATGCAGGTGCTAGTTATACATTAGAAATATGCTTTTACACTTGGCAGACATTTTCTAGCCATTAAACCTCACACTTCAAACACTCTCTCAATTCAAGTTTAGAAAGCTCTTTCTAGAATTAAAATTATCAATACGCACCAACGATCCCCCCCCCCTTTTTTCTCAAAAATACCCAAATCCTAAACTCATACATACACACATACACATTTACGCACATTCTAACCACACTTCACACACACACACACATACTAACCACACTTCACACACATACCCACATTCTAACAATACTTCACCCCCCTCCCCCCAGGTAATTACCTCATCGGTCCCATAAGTTAAATTTGGAAAGGTCTCTAAAGCTCTGGCCTTGACCTCGTCAGAAAACTGTCTATACTCCTCGCTCGTGGGCATGCGCAGTGTCACAGTCATCAAACTCTCGAACGCCTTCCTGGCCTTCGTGTTTCTCTCGTCCGTGTCGTTGGCTCTGTACCACGGCTTCTCTGTTGCGTTTTTACTACAGTGTGGAGTAAAGGGGGGTATAATGTACAGTAGGGTTTATTTTTAACAAAGCATGGGACACAAAGGTTTAAAAATGCACTCAAATTAGTTTTTAACTTCTTAATCGTGTACAAAGTGAAACATAATCAGGGTGTTTTTTTTTTTTTTTATTTCAAAATGAGGTGTTAACGAAAAAATCAGGGACCGTCTTTAGCATTAAATTGGGTAAAAAGAGTTATAATCGGTGGCGTTGTTACAACCATATGGAGTATAGAGGTTTAAAATCTGAAATCGTTTTTTTTTCTACTACATCATGTTGTAAATTGATGGTTTTTACTTTAACAAGTGGTATAATGGGCTGAAAGATATTGTCGGGGGCGTTTTTACTAGAACTAAGGGGACACACGGTTTACGAGGTTTAAGTCGGGATAGATTTTGAGATGGAAGAGATGGAAAGATTAAACCAAGGATTAAACAATCAATTAAACTAAGGACTAAATCCATGGATTAAACCAAGGATTAAACCAAGGAATAAACCAATGTTTAACCAGGGATTAAACCAAGGTTTAAACCAAGGATTAAAACATGGATTAAAACATGGATTAAAGGATAACGGAATGGACTTAAGGGATACATAGGATATAGAACTTAGGGAAAAACGAAACAGAACATAAACTTAGAATTACAGTTTAAAATATATACAATATCCAAATCATTTTTAAATTTTTTTTTAGGTGCAATTATTGCTTGATTAGACGTACCCACTTTTACGCATCTGACTATAACGACTACATAATGATAACATCTTTTGACATAAATCAGCTGACATAATGACTACATAATGCAAAGCTTTACGTTATCGCGTATATAATTGTCATTACAATGTTGAAAAACGTTAGCATTTACTCCTGAGACTAAACAAATCGGTTAATATCTAAGTTTGCACTGCAAGACACCCCGTTATGCCAGAGTATTGAATTAGGCCTACACATTAAAAATAGAACGGGAATAAGCAGATTCCCACCGATGCGATAAATCAACTTAGAAACAGGCACAACTCTAGGACAAGGTTAGCGATAGTTTAAAAAATTGGATTGTTATTTTTTTCTTTAAATAATCGTCAAAAAAAAAATCCCCGAAAATGCCCGTAATAATTCTGTCCTCAAACAAGTTAATCAAACTGTAAAAATTTGAATATAAAAAAAAAAAAAACAGAATTCAACAAAGACAAAAAAAAAAGATCGTCCCAAAATATTTTTGAAACTTCCTGATCAAGTAGCAGGAAGTCTGCTGTAACAGATACATAAAAAATGTATTTGAAAATGAACTGACTCGGGAAAATGAACTGACTCGGGAAAATGTCCCGACTCGGGAAAATGTCCCGACTCGGGAAAATGTCCCGACTCGGGAAAATGTCCCGACTCGGGAAAATGTCCCGACTCGGGAAAATGTCCCGACTCGGGAAAATGTCCCGACTCGGGAAAATGTCCCGACTCGGGAAAATGTCCCGACTCGGGAAAATGTCCCGACTCGGGAAAATGTCCCGACTCGGGAAAATGTCCCGACTCGGGAAAATGTCCCGACTCGGGAAAATGTCCGACTCGGGAAAATGTCCCGACTCGGGAAAATGTCCCGACTCGGGAAAATGTCCCGACTCGGGAAAATGTCCTGACTCGGGAAAATGTCCCGACTCGGGAAAATGTCCCGACTTGGGAAAATATTGCGTTAACTATTGTAGAGGACAGTACAATCGTAGTGTGAACGGATATGTTTACAGTGAATTGTGAAACAAACAATCTCTACTTCATCTAATCTCTAATGGGCCAGCAGATAAAATATTATAACCCTGTTTTGCAACTCAACTTGGATTGGAGATTATAAAAATCGACTTCGTGGTAAAATAATTGAGGATAATATGTTAAGGCTCAAGTGGAGTAAAAACTAAAAACCAAAAACCAAAAACTAAAAACCAAAAACTAAAAACTAAAAACCAAAAACTAAAAACCAAAAACTAAAAACTAAAAACTAAAAACCAAAAACTAAAAACTTAAGACACACCAAACAAAAAGTTAGACGAGGTCAGTTTTTGCGTTAAAATAGTTGAAGAACTGAAAAGATCCAGTGTCATAAAACATTGATTAGGGGTATGGGGATTATGATGCAGGCCGGGGGGGGGGTCGTATGGGCTGGTGTCAAATTTAGACATTTGAGTTGCTACAAGTTTTGAGTGTCTAAATTTGGTAAAAAATAATTTGGAGGCGTGATTTGATGATGAAAAATTAATTGCTGTAATTGGTCATAGCTGAGTTTAAAAAGGAAATTTGGTTTTAAAAATATTTTGAGAAAAAAAATGAAAACTTGACCACTTTCTAGTTCATCACTGGATTGAGATGTCTGCAAACATTTGTTCAAGAATGTGGGGTGGGTGTATGCTAATGATGGGGGTGAGGGGTGGGTCAGACTAATAATGGGGGTTAGGGTGGGTCAGGCTAATGATGGGGGTTAGGGTGGGTCAGGCTAATGATGGGGGGGGGGAGGGGGGGGGGTCAGGCTAATGATGGGGGTGGGTCCATGAAATGTTGGTCAGCTTGATGTCAACTGACCTGCTAAAGAGGTCGATGTTGAAGAAGACGTACTCCCCGTTGTCGAAGTTCATCTCGTGAGCACGGATCATGATCTCACGCACAGTGAATGGTGAGGCGCACATCACGATTACTGGAAGAGGACAATTGGGTTAGACGTACCACGACACTCGAACGACTGTTAACACGGATACAACATATATACTAGAAAACCTCATACCAAACCTCAACATAACCATTAAACTGCTATAAGCCTTATCTTGCACAGATGAGCATTAGCCTTATCTTATTCTAACTTTTGTATAATCCTAATCCTCTACCTCGATATAGCATAAGAGTAATATACTATATTGTTTTGCATTAGCCATATCATCTACTTCACCTATGTATTAATCTAACCGTCTCCTCCACCTTCGCATTAACTTAATCCTCAGCTGAACTCTAGAATCAGATCCAGACTGTGCAACTACACCCCACAAACTTTGCCAACGTCCTAAATACAAACTTTTATAACCAAATAACTCTCCGCTGTAAACACAGCATTCAAACTAAATTCCAACAAATTATGTTGACTACGCGAACACCTCTACCCCACCTCCACCCCCCCCCCACCTCACGAATCCCATGCATACATTACAAACCCTACGTGACGTTCTCTGTCTATTTTCCGAGGCGTCTATTTGTCTCTAGCTTGGGGCTGGGGGGAGGGGGTGGGATTTAAACGGATTTCATTGGACAAAACTATTCCTTGTTCTAGCGCTTCGGGCTACGAACACTATCCTGGAACGGATTAAGTTCGTATCCCGAAGCAGCATTTGTACCATTAACAAGAGATTAATACTAACAGTATGGAAATTTGAAGGTTTGAGGTTGTTTTTTTTTTTTATTTTTAAAATTCAAATAAAGAATTTCGAAAGTTTCCCCTATTTTAAGTTAAACATAAAGTGCTTTATGATCGATTCTTAGTTTTAATTAGCAAAATTGTAATGTTTAGTGTCCATAAATGTAGTTAAATTATAATAAAATAATTTAACTGTATTCATTAGTATTAATGTATCCTGTATTTCAAAACATGCTTTTTATGTTTTATTATGCTTCAAAAACTATGTAATTTTACCGTTCATACAAGACTACACGGAGATTGAAATATTAAAAATTACATAATTATTTCCGTATATTATACTATTCTGATCATTTTTAACATGGTTATGTCGACCATCCATATCACCAGTAGAGTCTATGTTTGGTGACCTAAGTCTTGACACTGCATCACCAGTAGAGTCTGTGTTTGGTGACTAAAGTCTTAACACTGCATCACCAGTAGAGTCTGTGTTTGGTGACTAAAGTCTTAACTGCATCACCAGTAGAGTCTGTGTTTGGTGACTAAAGTCTTAACTGCATCACCAGTAGAGTCTGTGTTTGGTGACTAAAGTCTTAACTGCATCACCAGTAGAGTCTGTGTTTGGTGACTAAAGTCTTAACACTGCATCACCAGTAGAGTGTGTTTGGTGACAACACTATGATTTGATCTCAACACTCCAGTCACTAGAGTCTAATTGTCATGTGACCTTTGCCGTGTTTCTCTATGTAATATACGTCATGTGTGGGGGTCGTTAACTGGATTGGCTAATGCTAAAGCCCGGTCGTAGTATTTTTAGCGCAATTTCCATTCTGGAGAATTGCGTTTATTAACTCGTCATTTCTGTGAATGGATGGATGAATGAATGTATGGATGAATGTGTGTCCGGGCTTTAAGTTGTATCTCCTCCTCAAGGAAGCAATATCGATGACTAGTTCCAAAAGCAATTATGTTAAGCAAGTTACGAAAATGAGCATAGGCCATAAAAATTCCGGGTTTCTTTCATGTATTTCCCGGAAAAGCCAAAAAAACCTCGAAAAAAATGCAGTTTTTGGCCCATATCTCGGCAACCAGACCCGTTAGCGACTTGAAACATGTACCAATAGATTCCTGCCATAATTTAGAACAATATTGCCGAAGAAAGTTTTCAAAAATATCCTCTCGCTCGATCACAAATTTTAAAATTACATAAACACCTACAAACCGATCGTTCTTCTAGCTTGAACGCACCCCAGCATTATACGTCAGAGCTATTTTTAGATAACATAAGGAAATTGCGCATAAATGTCACTAGACTTTTTTTAATTTTGTTTTCTAACTAATGGCAGGTATCTAATAAAGCTAATAGGACTCAGAAATAGTATGGGTCTGAAAACACTTGCCAGGCTTAACAGTTGACTAGAACCACTTCTACATCTCACCAAATAATCACCTCTACAGCTCACTAAAACCACTTCTATATCCCACTAAATAACGAATAATAACATCACGGCCCACCAAATAACCACCTAACTCACCAAAAAGTAACATGCAGACCTATATCTCACCTCTTAACCTATTCTACCCTCACCAAAAATCCGCCTCTATAGCCCACCATATAAACTTCTTACCTAACAAAAATCCCCTCATACAAAAAAACCATCTACCCTCACTAAAAACCACATCACCAGCTAACCAAAAAAAAACCACCCCACCACCCCACCAACCCACCACCTCACGGCTACTACTCACTCGACCACTCCGTGCCGACCTCAGCGTCCAACGAGTTGAGCATCTCGTTCAGATCCTTGAAGCTCTTGTGGTCCCCACCACCCCACCACCACCCCACCACCACCCCACCACCCCACCACCACCTCACGGCTACTACTCACTCGACCACTCCGTGCCGACCTCAGCGTCCAGCGAGTTGAGCATCTCGTTCAGATCCTTGAAGCTCTTGTGGTCCCCACCACCCCACCACCCCACGGCTACTACTTACTGGACCACTCGGTTCCGACCTCAGTGTCTAGCGAGTTGAGCATCTCGTTCAGATCCTTGAAGCTCTTGTGGTCCCCACCACCCCACCACCACCCCACGGCTACTACTTACTCGACCACTCTGTGCCGACCTCAGCGTCCAGCGAGTTGAGCATCTCGTTCAGATCCTTGAAGCTCTTGTGGTCTTTGACCAGGTTCGTGTTGCTGCGGAGTTCGTTGATGGTCGAGTCGGCGGCTGCAGTAGAGCAGGTCAAACCACGTTAGGACACAATGTAGGACATAATATAGGAAAAAATGTGGTAAAAATTGTGTCAGTGGCTAAATGTAGGACAAAATGTAGGACGAAATGTAGGACAAAGTGTAGGACAAAGTGTAGGACAAAATGTAGGACAAAATGTGTCAGGACAAAGTATAGGACAAAGTGTAGGACAAATTAAAGGACAAAGTTTGTAGGACTAATTTTGACAAGACATAATGTAGGACAAATTGTGACAAGACATAATGTAGGACAAATTGTGACAAGACATAATGTAGGACTAATTGTGACAAGACATAATGTAGGACAAATTGTGACAAAACATAATGTAGGACAAATTGTGTCAGGACATAATGTAGGACAAATTGTAATATGTTAGATGAACATTCTTTCTGAACCAAACATACAATACGTGATTTATGAAAAATATAAATCATAACAAATAATTTATGATATATCATACAGGCTATATGTGAACAAGACATCTATTTATATGTTCAAAGTAAAAAATAAATAACCATTTTATTTGGTTATATTTGAAAAACGTTAGTAGCATTTTTTTGCAGCGTTAATTTTGAAAGAAAAAAAATAAAAAAGAAAAGAAAAGCAAATTGTCTAGTTTGATGATAAAGATTGTCGTTTAAAACCATTTCAACGTCTATTTATAGATATAAAAGCAATAACGCAGTAACCAAATATAAACAAAATCGATGAGCTAAAGTATTTCTTATGACGGCGAAGAAAACAAACAAACGACGGAGCTATTTGTTGGTGTATTTTATTATCATAAACGTTTTTGTTTTGCCAAAGTGCTATTTTTGACTGCGTGTATTTTATGCTTGCGTGTCTTCATTCATTTATATTTCGGGTCATAGAATGTCCAAATTTATTTTATCAACGTGAAGCTAAGACCCCCATCCATCTCCCAGTTTCAACAGCGATACATCTTGAATAGATCGTTTGTTAGTTTTAAAAATACGTGCATTAGCCTAATTAGATTACGCTATTATTAACACCCTTTTTTTGTTTCTTTAAGAAAACCCGAAAAAAGGTTTCCACACATTTTAAGATGCATTTTAACCCTTTTGTAATCATTTTTTTCTATTTTGGGTCGATGTGTTTTTTGAGATTGTATTTCATCAGCTTTTACTGCACATCCGGGTAGGTTTTATATTGACATCCGGTTGGTTTTATATTGACATCCGTGTAGGTTTTATATTGAGATCCGGGTAGGTATTATATTGACATCCCTATAGGTTTTATATTGACATCCGTGTAGATTTTATATTGACATAAATGTAGGTTTTATATTGACATCCGTGTAGGTTTGATATCGAAATCCGTGTAGGTTTTATATTGACATAAATGTAGGTTTTATATTGACATTCGTGTAGGTTTTATATTGACATCCGTGTAGGTTTTATATTGACATCCGTGTAGGTTTTATATTGACATCCGTGTAGGTTTTATATTGACATCCGTGTAGGTTTTATAACACATCTGAGCTCAAAACGTCTATTTGGATTGACTTCCATACTTTAATACTTTTTTTCGCCGCATGGGTGGATGAGTGGGTTTATCCTAAGTTTCTCACGGATGGGTGGGTGAGTGGGTGTATCCAAAGTTTATTGCTCGCTAAGGAAGAACAAATTCTGCACTCACACAGTTTGACCGATTTGTCTGTCTCTGCACCAAATCAATTCTTTCACAGAACTGAACAGAAATAACCCGCATTTAGCACTTAATATTTTAAAACTATATGACCTTGTAGAAACGTCTCTATATTTTTTTGTAGTTTTGCTCTCATCCGATCAGCTATTGTGAGTGTTGATTTCCTGTTCACGCGTGGTTCAATACTTGCTCCGTGTCAAGAAATTCTTCAAGTCCGTTTTTTTTCATGCACCTCCCGCCTTTATTGAAATATTGGAATAGATTTGAGTCTTGAATAGATCGAGTATTAAAGGAAGAAAATACATGCGCCTAATGTGATTGCGTGATTGTCATCTTGGGTTTAAAACATTTTTTAAGGAATTAAACACGTTTTCAATGTGCTATTTCTCAATACAATTTTAAAGCTTTTCTGCAAGGACGGTCAAGCACTGAGGTTCGCCTTTCATCCGACGCGCGTTCATCATCTTAGAAGGGAAAAACTAAACCTAAACCCGATTTAAGTTCAAAGAAAAATTTAAAATTCAAAAAGTGAGTGACAGATGGGAAGCGAAACAGTTCAGTTTTTCGTTTTTAAAGTCAGATGTTTTAATACGTTAAAGGTTAAAGTTCACCATACTGGCTATTACATCTCTTCAAATTAATATTCTTATGTTTTTAACCAATTATTGCTAATAATAATTGTCACACATGCACTAGCATAATTAGAATAAAATACACTTTACCATGTGTTTCTATACATTAGACGCGGCCATGCTTAAAGTAAATGCTCTATACGTATTGTCAAATATGTCTTTGTGTCCACAGGCACGTATTTGCATGAAAAAATCATCCGTATGTGACATTCAAGGTTATAAGCAAACGATGAAAAGCCTCAGAATAAAAACAGCATCCAGCCAAAATCTTTCGGCTAACATAACAATTTAGCCCCGTCCGTCGTAAATAAGATTACATTTAAATAAGGTATCTTTCAAACAACACAACACTGCCTCCATTCGTGGAACCCAGTTGCTTCAGCTAGAATTGAAATGTCTGTACGTCTGGCTTAAAACAAATCAGACTCCTGCTTCTGTGAGCGGGAATTGAAATGTGGGATCCAGATGAAGTTGATTGTAAGCCCAGATTCTGTATTCTCGTTTCTGGCACTGTTGCTATTTTGGCTTCCAAAGCTGGAGCCATTGCTGAGACGAATGTCATGTTGTGATCGTTTTATGAAGAAAATATTTGTATTTCTTCCATTTGAAAAAAAAAAGTTATATATCTGAAAATGTAGGCCTACATCCTGGACGAAACTACTGAAGGAGTAAAATCTACACCAGCGTAAAAAAAATTGTTTCGCTAAAGAAACAGAAAAAAGTATTTAAAACTACATAACATTTTTTTATTATTAAAACGAAAACAAAATGCTTACAAATCTTCTTAAGGACTAGTATATATTTTTTATTGATAAAGAACTGTATGCATATTTATTAATTTTTGACGACAATGACAAACCCAAAACTAAAACTAAACCTGCACCTAAGGCTGAGTTAGTAATTCTACCGGAGATGTGTACTATACAAGTGTAAACTTATTCGTAGTAAATTGTACTTCACTATTGTTTACTATTTAAGAAGTGTTGACTAAAAATAAGAAACAAGCAATTTCTGATAGATTTTACTTACGGTAAATCTCAAAAAAATTAACGCACTAAAAAATGTTTGGATTCGATTTGACGAGATTTGTAATATTTGTTTAATACATCATGTTTTTATTAGAGACAATCAAGCCAGTAATACAACATTTGGAACCGGCGTAGTTAGATTGATTGGGTTTTTACAGTGCAACCAACAGGCAATGTAAACACTGTGACGTAAGCAGGTCACGTGAGCCAGATACTGTCAAGACTAAATAAACCCATGAATGACGAATGGAAAAACAGCCACTAAGAGTGCTAGAAGAAAAAAAAATAAGCCACTGGTCAGTTAGCCACTGGTCTGCTGGTCAAGCGGTCAAGCTACTTAACAGCCAACGGGTATTGATTGAAGGTGACCCGCACTGTGTAGGGTGACCTACACAGGAAGTGGAGGCGGGCATGGGTGTGACCCGGCAATGGTCACTGATGGTTTGACGTTTGGAAACTTCACAGAACCCTCAAATCAATGCTAAACGTATGTACTTTGACCCTCTAGTTCGTGTACACCCTAGTTCTCTAGCGGGTCACATAGAGTTACAATAAAACTGTTCTCTTACAGTTGTGTTCATTGAAGTAAATGTAGAAAATACACTACCGTTCACGAGATTTGATTCAAGTTTTTCTCTTTTCTAGGTGGCAAAAACTTTTCAACTATCAACTTATTTCATGACAAAACTTGCCGAAATACCCCACTCACTAATGTGACCAAACTTGTCAAATATTCACTTATTCAAAGACAAAACTTGCCAACTATAAAATAATTTCAGGAGAAAAACTTGTCAACAAAACGCTCGAACAAATTCTCCTTAATGCGTCGAAAATTGGCTTACCACGATCAAAAAGTTTGTTAGTCATGCAAGTATTTAATAATAAAATTGTCAAAGCCCTACTTACACATGTAACAAATCTTGTGAAAAGCCACCCAACCAGGGAACTTGTCAAAAACTATTCACCCATGTAACAAAACTTGTCAAAAGCCCACTCACCCAAGTGATAAAACTTGTCTAAAATCCACTCACCCATGTAACAAAACTTGTCTAAAATCCACTCACCCAGGTAGGAACTTGTCAAAAGCCCACTCACCCAAGTAACAAAACTTGTCAAAAAAACCCACTCACCCATGTAACAAAACTTGTCAAAAAAATCCACTTACCCATGTGACAAAACTTGTCAAAACCCCACTCATCCAAGTGACAAAACTTGTCTAAAATCCACTCACCCATGTAACAAAACTTGTCAAAAAAATCCACTTACCCATGTGACAAAACTTGTCAAAACCCCACTCATCCAAGTGACAAAACTTGTCTAAAATCCACTCACCCATGTAACAAAACTTGTCAAAAAAATCTACTCACCCAAGTAACAAAACTTGTCAAAAATCCACCCACCCAAGTAACAAAACTTGTCAAAAATCCACTCACTCAAGTAACAAAACTTGTCAAAAACCCACTCACCCATGTAACAAAACTTG